CTGAATTAGATTTGGTTATTTACAACTTGCATAGGACTCACAATTGTCATGAGGCCCAAATTATGACTGTTAGTGAAGAAACACTCAAGTATTTGCTCAGATTTATAGTGAGAATATATAAAATACATACCCAGATCATTCTGAGCCACGTTTTTCAGCAATAGCAGGAATAAAACTAATTGTTTCTCAACTCCATGAGTGGATACAGGCAAGTGGGAACTACCTTCCAAAGTGAAAGGGGACAGGGGAGGAATACACAGAACAGGGCTTGTACTGCATGGAGATGAAACTTAGTCCAAGTGATTCATGTGACAGTAATTCATGTGATAGTAGTACCTGGAGCTGCAGAGAAAAACCTACACATGTAGAGAAATCAATGTATTTATGAAATTATCACTTAGCTGTTTGTGTTGTATTATGGTAGGACTCTAGTCTTTACCTAGTGGTGAAAACCAACAAACAATGTTATTTGGGAACAGCATGGATTTAAGGTTAGTTTGCTGATGCATACTGAATTGTTTGCAGAAGAGAGGCTCTGAGCTTCATCAGCAAAACACCTGTCAACACGTATTCCAAGCTTAACCATTGAGGAATACTTTTTTTTTGAGGACTGCTGGATACCACAGGTTGAGATTACCAGAAAAAAAAGTCTAAGTTTTAAGTAATTTGATAAAGGTTTGGCTGTATGGCTCAGCTGCATTTTACCACGGAGATAACTCTAGAATGAACCTATGTACTTGTACATATCTAACTGAGCCTCAGGGTCTTACAAGTGTTCCTGAAGGCCAGCTTTCTAGATGGGGCAAAACAGTTTGAGTAGTCTTATTTTCCTGTTGGCCTAGACTAACTGAAGCCAAAAATAATCGTCTTGAGCAGCCTTCATAAATACTGACTTGTGCTCTGAACTTTGCAAGGGCACATAGGTTTCTTGTAATCAATTACTTCTTTGGGATTTTGTGAGTGGTATGACAGATGACCAATAGCAGCTGGATAGGGTAGCAGTATAGAAGTCTAATATTTTCTGTAGGAGGTTATTAATAAGGAGAACTGCCATCTTATACTACAGGAGAAGTTTCCCCCTTACCTTTCAGAAGGATAGTGCTGGCATTATGTATAATTTTTTTTGGCACAGTGCAACCACAGATAACAATTCCAGTCTCATGCACAGCCACGTCACACTACAGAAGTTTTTCTTACCAGTGCACAGTGGGACTTTAGTTCTGCAGCATGAGATCTACTGAGATAATAGTAGCACTAACAAAGGCAAATGTAGTCTGTAAATCTGTATTCATTACAGTATTGTATTTCAAGTGCGTGTTGTGCATATGAACGCTAGTGCAGAGAAACTCAAATATTTCACCATATGCAGGAAATGTGAGTGTCACAGTAGATATTAAAGGTCAGGATTAGCTCTCAAAGTGGAAAAGATTATATTCACATCTGTTTGAAGAATTTATTTTCCTTTATTTATTTCATGCTCTGTCCATCTTGCTGCTACTTCTCCCATGTTGCCTTTCCTGCCACCGTATGCCAGAGTGCTCTTTCTTGTTCTGCATGGTAAAACTTTGAAGTTGTGCCTTTATCTAGCATCTGTACATATATTTACCTAAAAACTCTTGAATATTTAAACCACATGCAAGTGAGCAGCACACATCCATTATATACAAAGACTGTAATAACTTCCTGTGCTATGTGGAATGCTGTGTTATGTTGGCATTAAAAAAAAAGGAAAATTTAAAAGCTGTTAGGGACACTTAGTTATAAATGTCCATATCTTAGTATTGGCTGGAAATTCCCACCAATATGCCATTGTGGTTCTGTTCTGTAATCCACAGAGGGTGGATACAGAGTTGCAGGCAGTGCTGTTCAAATGCAATAACTTCCTGTGCTATGTGGAATGCTGTGTTATGTTGGCATTAAAAAAAAAGGAAAATTTAAAAGCTGTTAGGGACACTTAGTTATAAATGTCCATATCTTAGTATTGGCTGGAAATTCCCACCAATATGCCATTGTGGTTCTGTTCTGTAATCCACAGAGGGTGGATACAGAGTTGCAGGCAGTGCTGTTCAAATGCTCAGGCCACTTCCATTATTCCTGCTTTGTAAAGACATCAGGAACATATTTAAGAGGAAACTGTATAACATATGGCAGGTCTTTTAGAATGACTTCACACTGATATTTAAACACAGCACTGATGGGAGAATCAAATCAGCAGCCCTGCTGCACTGAAGAATACTCTGGTGTACAGTAAAAGCCTTGATTGAATTTCTGAAGCAAATGATTAAGCATTTGCTGAGGGGATGAGCGGACAGGAAAAAAATAATGGGAAGACTTTTTGAAGGCTGAGACTTGTTGCTCCAAACTGGTCCCAGTTTTCACAATTTGTCCTTGTAGAAGTGTTAATCATTACCAGAATGCCAGCAGTCAAACAGAATACGCACGTTCCGAAGCCATTGGATTGTGAGCCGTTTTGTGCAAGGCTGCTTAACACACAGCCTGTGTGTGAGAAGATAAAAAAGCATTGAAAGGTCTGCGAGCCAGGAATGTGGAAGTTCAACCCCACTGTGTTCACTGGAAGTGGTGTTAGTCACTGAAAGTTCCCCATTGCAAGTGACTAAAGCAGTTAAGTCCCCAAGACATCCAGTGGTCCTCCTTGGAGTGAGCTGGGTATGGTTACGTTGCCACTATATAAAGCAAGTGTTAGCTGAATCCATCTCAGCAGACTGTATGGCTCAGGGTAACAGATCTTCAGTGGAGTTTGAATGCAAAACTGATTTGAGGAGTTTTTAAACATCATAGTGGTTGATCCCTCTGACCAAAGTCATCTCTAGCTTTCACTTTCATTTGAAATGAAATTTAGTACCAAGATTACTTAGTAGATTTTAGTCCAAATGTAGCAATGCAGTACAGTATTAGCTTTTATGCAAGGCTTGCAACTTTGTGGAGACTGTTCTTTCAGCTCACCACCAAAACTGAATGTTTTGGGTAGAAGTTGAGTGACCTTTTGTGTCCCTTTGCCAGTGGCACATGTAGTAGAAATGTTATTGCAACTTAGTCCATTCAGTTTGAGTTTTGCTAAAAGGGGGTCTGGTATCCTAAGTCCACAAGGATGGCTTTTCCATTTAATAAGATGCTATTCTTTATTCTTCAATTTCAAGCAAAGGGAGAAATTAAGATCTGTTGTACCAGAGTTTTTCTGAGAAGTATTCCGAAGCACAAATACCATCTTATGTATGTTACATCTTAGACAAATGCTTAGACCTCTTGTTTATGTTTTCATCCTCTTTTCTAAACCAAACATCAGTATGTTGTTTCCTCATAATTTTATTACTCACTGAAAGTAACTAAAAAAATCAAAAAGATGATTGTCACTGCTGCTCCCTCCCACCATCCAAATGCACGTAGTTCCAGTCATCGAGTCACAAAGGTACAGCTGGCTGAGGATCTTAGACTCCTCCTCAAGCATGCAGGACTGATCACTCAGTAAAAAAGATACTAAGCTAGGTGGGACTTTGGTCTGACCCAGTGTGACAGCCATTAATTTGTCACTGAAATTCCTGACAGAGACTTCAGTAAGCAAAAAAGTTAAATAACCTTTACCTCTTATCTAAGGGTTACACAGGTTGTAGATGTTCTTTTTCTTAGATAACTTTTTTTCCCTCTCAAGGTTAGGGGTAACAGGAACAAAAGTAAAATAAAGCATTGAACAAACTAAATTATTTTGTTTACCATACTTTTGTGCAGTAGGAACCTGATACTGGCTAGAGCATCTCATGCCTTTTGCACAATATATGTTCATTTTGTATATAAAATGGTGTGTGTCTGAAAAGCAGGGAGTTGCAAAGGCTGAAGGTAGTAGTTGTCTTTTTAAGGCCTTAGAACACAACCCTGAAAAATCAATGTGTTATGAATTAAGAAGGGCTAAATGTTTTATTGCTAGCAGTAAAGTCTGCCTGGAGCTAAAGATCAGTTTTGTGACATTCAGTGGTAGTTCAGGTTAGCTGTATAAGTTGACTACTTCTCGAGCTGTAAAAAGCCTCTTCCCTTTGGGCTCTGTTTTCCTTTGGGCCAGACAGGT